CCCTTCCTTCTCCCATGATTGATCTCTCGAAGGAGTGCATCCACCTCAGCCAAATGTTCAACTCACATGCCTTTGCTTGGCTGGAAGCCACAGGTGTGGGTTCAATTCCAGACCCGAAGGAGAGCTAGGGGCCACAGTCTCAGGGATTCCACAAGGCCCCATCAGACCAGCAAACCCAGTCCCCCACTTCTTTCTTGTTCACAAATGACCCTGAGTTCTGTTCCACATTACCCTCCCCCTCCATCCAGGATCTCCCACATGGATCCCCCTCCAAGTGGCTGACAGTGGCAGCCAGGCACCCACCTAGTTCTCTGGTCTCATAGTCGCCCAGGCTGCAGATTACATGGTGCACCAGTCGCCAGGACCAACCATCTCCATGAATCTCTGGTCCCCCTCATTCTTCTTTGCTCTGAATGAGGAGAGACCCATTGCCACATCCAGATGACTGCCTGCAAGCCCCCAAGAGCCCACTCACCACTCACCAAAGTAGGAGGCGGAACAATGTTCTGTGTAGTATGTTATGCCAGTTGAGCTTGATGTCCCCTGTGACTATGGTCCCGAGCCCACCAGTTCAACTACTCGGTCCCTCTGGGTAGCTGGCTGTGACCAAGAAATGACTACAACGTTGTCCCTTGCAGCTCTATTATACCCCTGGGAATTCTTACAGAACATACAAATACATTTGTAGTAGCATTGTCTGTCAACCCTATACATGGTCTTGGGTGCACTCCCCACTTCATAGACATACCTAATAGTTCAGTCTGTCCACCCATCTCTCCACCCATATACTGGTGTTTGCCTTCACTGACAATGCAGTACTGTATGTGGAAAGGGTTCATCTTTGTTGTCTGCACCTCCCATGTACCTCTCTATGTCTTCCTCTTCCTTCATGCCACTATGTTGATCACTCACATTTGGTACATTGCCTTTCTCTTCACCCAAATCAATACTTATCTCTACCTATCTAATAGTGTTCTCTCCCCCCACCCCCCGGTAACCAACAAAGAAAATTTCCTTCCATAGATAAACCTTTCCTTGACTTTTACAATAATGGACTGATACAATATTTGTCCTTCTGTGATTGACTTATTTCACTCAGCATAATGTCCTCCAAGTTCATCCACATTATGCGGTGTTTTGCAGATTCTATGTTA